CATGCTATCTTTGTCAGCATCTACTAAATTATTAAACTGAGATCACATCATAGAGGATGCCAGGCCAGGTTGCCAGGAAGATACTGAAAGGGAGGGGTTGAATCTCAGCTGAAGCCGCGAATCTTCTAGGCTGGCCTGAAAGTAGATTCCTCAGGCCTTGACCCCCCACCCCACCCAACTCTCAGCAATGGAGGGGATCTGACTGGGGCCATCTGACACTGCTCATTCCCTCTGCAAACCTCTCTTGCTCCTGTCTGTCCTCAGGGAGGGACTGGGTACCTATTGGACAGGCCTCGGGAGTCTGGCCTGGGCTGCCTCTTCTATTCCAGAGCCTCAGACTCAGAGCACAGGTTTTGAGTCAGTAGACACGACTGATTTGGGAGATCTTGGGTAAAGTCTTTAATCTGTCTTTGTCTATGCCAGAGGCAACAGCAGTTCCATTTCTTAGATGAGGACTGTGAAGTTCAGGAAAAAAGTTCTTTTCTTGGGGTTGCACAGCTGGGAAAGGACAAAAGTCCTTGGTGTGATTCAAACACAAGTGTCTTCTTTCAGGTCCCTTTCCTCTCTTGGTTGTTTATTTATTTGTTTATAATATTTTCCATGTAAAGAATGTATACTTTTTATAAACATCAGAAAAAACATACTATTCATCATAGTTTAGAAATGCATTCCCTCATTCTAAGTGCTGTGTTTTACAGGATGACTGCACTGACAGGTAGGTGGTTGACTGTGGACTCTGAAGAGAAGATGGAAAAAGACAAGAGGAGGAAGGATGTGGAGGTGTCTACTGTTCATACCTGGGGATGTAGAGCTCAGGTCAGTTAAGGCAGGTGACAAGAAAACTGTCAGATGCCAAACCTCTCTCACCCCTGGTCCTTTGCACGTGTTGTTTGCATCCTGAATCTCCCTCCCTGTTCCCCCCACCATCTCTGCATCACTCTCTTTGACTCATCCTTCAGGTCTCAGTCGAAATGCCACTTCTTAGAGGAAACCCTCTGTGTTCTCTCCCCACCCAGCTGGCCTTAGTGCTGTTCCCTCAGCCTCCCCCATCCAGTAGAAATCTCACCCAGCTACAGTCACCTGTCTGTGTGCCCGCTGGACTCACAGAAGATAGGGCTTTTCTGATCAGTGCTGTGCCACTCAGCAGGTAGCCCAGCAGAGGAGGTAATGAACAAGTTGTTGAATGAGTTAAAGAATGAATAAATGAATGGATGGAGAAAGAGACCTCTCCATTCTCATCAAGTTCCATCCTTGCATTATTTCCTAATTATTTTTTTTAAAGAGAGAGTGAGAGAGGAGAGAGAGAGAGAGAGAATTTTTTTAATATTTATTTTTTAGTTGGCGGACACAACATCTTTGTTGGTATGTGGTGCTGAGGATCGAACCCGGGCCGCACGCACGCCAGGCAAGCGCGCTACCGCTTGAGCCACATCCCCAGCCCATTATTTCCTAATTCAATCACATTTTTTATTGGGTTGGGAGTGTATCTCAGTATTAGTGCTCTTTCTGATCCTGCATAAGACCCAGGATTTCAACCCTAGTACTGGGGGGAAAAATTATTGAGGGCTGGGGTTATGGTTCAGTGGTAGAGTGCACGCCTAGCATAGTGAGGCACTGGGTTTGATCCTCAGAACCACATTTAAAAAAAAAAAAAGGAAATAAAGATATTGTGTATCCACCTATAACTAAAAAATAAATATTTTTTTAAAAAATATTGAATGCCCTCTATTGAGAGCCAGAGTATTCTAATGATAAACAAAACTAGTCTAGGGGAAGACTATTAAAAACTAAACAATAAGCCAGGTGTGGTGGCACATGCCTGTAATCCCAGCAGCTTGGGAGGCTTAGGTAGGAGAATCTCAAGTGCAAAGCCAGCCTCAGCAACTTAGTGAGATCCTTCCTCAAAAATAATAAGGGCTGGGGATGTGGCTCAGTGGTTAAGTGCCCCAGGTTCAAGCCCTGGTACCAAAAAAGAGAGGAAAACCCCATAAAACTAAACAAATACATACATGGTGAGAAATGCCAAAAGGATAGGAACAGGAATTATTTGGGGGCAATAACAGGGAGATGAGAGGCAACTTTGGGGGGCTCTGGGTTTTTATTAGGAAGAAAAGGATGCTGATCTAGAGAACATTCATCCAGTTCATCCATTCATTTATTTATTTATGTGGTGCTGGGGATTGAACCCAGGACCTTGTGCATGCTGAACGCACACTTGACCACTGAGCTTTACCTCAGCCTCCAGTAAATATTTATTGACAATCTCCTCCCACTCAGAGAAATTAGTGTCCAAGTTTACCTGGAGGGACAGTATGTGAGGGGTTTGAACCAGATCTAACTGGTTCTCTGGATCTAATCAACAGTAGAAGTGGAGGTAAGTGGTCTTACTCCCCTTCATTCATCCTTAGGAGTTAGGAGCAGTGACCTGCCTGATTCTGACAAAACACCTGTCAATCTCCACCCTGATGGAGATGTGTGTGTGTGTATGGGGGGGAGGTTCTACGCTGAGAAAGACTCAGGTTGATGACACAAAGGAAACTCTTCAAAGGGATGTCACCTCGAGGGCATTCATCCTTGCTGGGAGCAACCTGGGAACCCCTAAGCCTCCCAGGATCTTCATGCGCTAAGCCTCCCTTCCCCCACTGCGAGTCTCCTTCGCACCTTTGCACCCACTAAATTTCAGCTTCCTCTGCAGGTCCCTCGCCTGCCCTCAAAGGTTCTTCTTGCCCTCGGTGAGCATTCTCCGGGTGACTGGGTCATCCCCACCCCCCACCCCCCAGCAGGAGCCTCTCCCACTCTCAGTCACTGAGCACCTCCCTCTCATTGGATCCCTCGGAGTCCTCTTCCCCTCTTCAGTGGGTGCAGCTCCCCCGGAGGCTCCTCCCTCCCCTCGGAGGCTCTGCCGAGTTGCTTCTCTGGAGCTGAGTTGTCTCGCCCACGAGTCCCATCACTCATCAGAAGGCACCTGTAAGCACTTGGAGAACACAGGGACAGATGAGTCTCCTCCTCCTCCTCCTCAAGTCAGTGACGCTCCGTCAGCAGCCTCCTCTTCTCGCTCGCCACACTCTTCTTAGGTCCTCCCCATCTGGTTTCAGAGCGGGCTTCTGGCCCTCCAGACCTTGCCTCCTCCCACCACAGACACCTGCCATCTGACGGAACCTGAGGTAGGGCCATGGTGAATTGGCCAGTATTTGTAAGTGGAACAGCAGGGCCATTTCTGCTGCCAGAAGAGTGGGCAGGACTCACTGCTTTCATTTTTCCAGAGTGACTGAATTCCAAATATGGAGGGTCCCTCTGCGACAGGCAGGGGACCAAGGTGTCTGAGTCCTCAGAGGGCATAAATAGCTAAAGCTCTTGCATTTCTGTCCAGATTCAGCCACTAGCCGGCAATGTGACCCCGGGCAAGGCCCCAAGGCACCGTCTAAGTCTTCCCTTCGTGTAAAGGTGTGGGGACACCTGCTAAGAGGAGCATACAGAGGGTCGGGGAGAGGGGCAGGGAAATAATTTTGCACACCTTGGAGCCCAGGAGTCATGGGAGGAGGCAGGCACCAAGATTTGCGTGCTTAGCTGCAGGATTTAGTGTTTGTTTTGCAAGCAAATGGCTGGCCTGGCATGGGACCAACCCAGCCAGATGTCCATTCCCTGGGCTGAAGGGACGCCAAGTCGCCCCTCCGTTACCCCAATGAGATGGGAGGGAGTCCTAACGAGACTGCAGCCCAAATCAGGCAGAGCTGATTTGGCCAAAGGGCAGCGGACGTATGGGAAGGTGAAAGTCAAGCTTCCTGAGTACTAGTCCGTGCTCTGTCACGCGGAGGGCCCCTCCCCGAAGTGGACACTGGATTCTTTGACTTCTAAGGACCAACCTCCACAGTTTTTGACTGAGGGACGAGGTGGAGGAAGATACGGCCCGCTTTTCACCCCAAATTTGTGGAGAAGTGAATGGGGACCTGATGCCCTAACAGCGGAGGGCTGGAGTAAGAACTGGGAAGCTAAAGGGTTTGGGGAAGGTCCTGAAAGCTCAGAGCTGGTGGGGACAGGTTCAGGCTATACCCGTCTCTGATTGGCTGGGCTGCCCATCGCTCCGCCCCTGTTCTATAAGACGCTCCGGCGGCGGGTGCGGCGCGGGCGTGGG